TAAATATATATATACACCTTGACACTGGTTACTAATATATTATCTTGAACTAAAAGAATGAATCTCTACAACAAACAATTAACGTACGTACTAACAAATAAAACTACTACCAAGTTTATTTCAACTTTTATCATTTTTGGCTACTCCCGAACTAAATCTACTTTAGATCTCAGTGTTTAGATTTTGTTGTTTTTAAATATATATATACACCTTGACACTGGTTACTAATATATTATCTTGAACTAAAAGAATGAATCTCTACAACAAACAATTAACGTACGTACTAACAAATAAAACTACTACCAAGTTTATTTCAACTTTTATCATTTTTGGCTACTCCCGAAATACCCCCACTTTAGATCTCAGTGTTTAGATTTTGTTGTTTTTAAATATATATATACACCTTGACACTGGTTACTAATATATTATTTTGAACTAAAAGAATGAATTTCTACAACAAACAATTAACGTACGTACTAACAAATAAAACTACTACCAAGTTTATTTCAACTTTTATCATTTTTGGCTACCCCAAAATATGATATACACTTTATTTTACATTCATTTTTCTGGTCACTATATTCAATAAAATAATTTTTTCTGGGATAAGTTTTCCATTGATATGTTGATTTTAAATCTCATTAATTTCTTGTTTATGTCTAAAATGTTTAGCAGTGGAAATATTTAGTCAACAGTTTATTTTACATTCATTTTTCTGGTCACTATATTCAATAAAATAATTTTTTCTGGGATAAGTTTTCCATTGATATGTTGATTTTAAATCTCATTAATTTCTTGTTTATGTCTAAAATGTTTAGCAGTGGAAATATTTAGTCAACAGTGACGATTTACGGACATCACTTTTTTTTTATAGTTATTGAATGTGTAAAAGTATGGTAAACAGCCAACATGAAATTAACTGAACGAATTATCATAATCACTACTTGTTTGACTATCTCTATATATACTGATGTAATGAAAATATTTATTTTTAGTTTAAAGGTTACTCGATGAATTTACTTAGATGTTACACGTATAACAACTTAAAATGCATAAGCAATTTGTTAAAGCTAACACACTGGTAAAATACACAACAACTAGAAAGACCTTTCTCTAAACGAAACAACGTTGTTACATGTACTGATTGGGAAAATGCCCATATGTTATTTTGAAACAAGAGATCTTTGATATATAATTTCGAGGCTTTCGCCAGCTTTCAAACTAAACTCTAAAGCTTCAATAGAACAAATACGATAGAGCAAAAAAATGGTCGTGAAAATCAACACAAAAACTAACTTCCGTTAAATTCCTCAAACTAGGCAATAACGTATAAAACATTCCATATTTCTCCTACTGTTATTTGTATCAGTGCTCATGCGATCGATATAAGGACTGAAAGAGAAACAGCGTGTAATCATCCAAGTCAGTGTGATGCGTATCTTTTAAAAAAAGGAGAAAACGGAAAGCTCATTTCATTTATTATTATTAGTTAACCTTTTAGTATACGACTATAGTCAAGTTTACAACTGGAAAAAGATTTACTGTAATGTACTTGTCTTACCTTGAAAAAACAACGACAAACTCAACATATTGGCGTAAGATGACAGTTTTCCTGCAACATACGGGAGCAACACCAGAGTTCGTTCGATACTCTCTCGTGGGTGGAAAGTGCATCTACTAAACGTTCCACTCTCGAAACAAGAGCACAGCTATAGTCTTGGTAGCAGACTATAGGCGTCAAATATAGTTTGTAGAACGCACAGGGAATGTTATAATATTTCTATTTAGTTAATACAAAAAGTAAATTTTACATTAAAAATACACTATTAAAACGTTTATATTTCCGGATCCACACAGCATTTATTGTTTTATTCATGTTGATTTATTGTTTTGGATATTTGCGCAAAGCGACATCAGCGTTCACTCATTTTGAGCTAATAGACAAAGTGGAGAAGACGATTTTGTGGCAACGGAGTGCAAACCTTGGAGCCTCGAATTCACAGTCTAGCACGCTAACCACTAGCCTTGCCCTGCCCCAGTTTTGTTCAAAACCTTATATTAAAGTTTAAATAATTAATATGAGTATCAAAATATTGTTTATTTTAATCAGAATAAGGTTGTACAAAGTTCTTAAATCTTTAAAATAGCTCAACTTTAAGGTATTGAATAATATTTAATTTTGTTTTATGTGTCTCTCTTATTAACTCTTCACGTTTAAACTTTATACTTGATAAGCATTCTTCCCTATTTTGACTGCACTAAAATTGATAATTATTGTAGACATGGAGTCACGATAGGAGTTTGTAGGTTGAGAAAATAATGCAGACATTATTTGCAGCCTTGTTTGTTTACTTTTTTGTACAGTCCTTAGTTGTAGCCTTGAAAATATAATTCTTTCATTTTGATTCAACTTGTTTTTATACTTTTTTGGCGGTCCCTATTCCCCTTTTTAAATTAACAATTTTAACTAATCTTGTTTCTTAAGTTTTTCATGTTCATTTATGGATAATAATTGCTAAGCTACAATTGAATGTTACATGTTTTTCAACAGTTTACTGCTGCAGTGGCTTTTGTTTATCACCCAACCACCGCACTGAACTTTTTCAAAATAAATAAATTTACAACAAATAATAAACACATGTACTGATATGCAACTACAACAAACAAGATGGAAAGTTGTTCTCAAAGGACTCTCTTGAAGGCAAAGATTGTATCATCTCAAGTTTAATGACTAGCTTCCATCAGTGTCACAGTGTGATGTAATAAAAGACGAGCAGCAACAAAGCAGCCTCATCAGAATGGAATAACGTTTCTTCTAAGATAATACATCACAGATTAATGCAATGTAAACAGACTCAATAACATGCTTACCTTGTTAGGTCTATATGACACATATGTATGTTCTTCAACAGCCTGCTGTGCACAAGTGTTTGCTAGAATACGACAACCCAATTAATGTATGCAAAATAGACAACAGCGACACACTTAGCGTAAATCGCCAATTATCGACAACATTTACTACTGCTACCTTAACACCAATTATCTAAAAATAGCAATAGCTATATGAAATAGTGCTATATGCAGTGGTTATAAATACTGAATACGCAGTCACGATTTCAGCTAAGTATAAGAAACAGTACAAAGAATCACCACCGTTGTCTGAGTAGGAAAATCTATTATGGTAATCGTCCACTGTTAAAAAGTTGCTGAAATATAGTCGCAGAAATCCAAGAAGAGACAGCCAATTTGAGTAACGACGAACAATAGCGACTCGAGTAATGATATGCAACAGCAAAATCGGGAACATTTCACGTGGCAGTTTCCAATTAATGCGCTAGAAAATGTGCGAGTTGTAGTTTCTAACTAACGCGCACACCAGGAAAACACCGGCTTTTTTTTATAGCGGAAAGTGAAGGATTTTGGATATTTCGCAGCACGACAAAATTAAGGAGGTCGAATTAAGTTTAAAACTATTCTCTCAGTTTTTGCAAAGTTCTTGTGTAATCCTATACTACAGTGGATATCAATAATTTTATGGTAGAGTCATAATAAGGGTTTGTAGCTTGAGAATACTGTCAGCAGTAGATCTCCAGCCTTGTTTGCTTACTTTTCTTGTGATCCCACAGAAATGGACAAATATATGCCTAGAGTAAGACACAACCACCTCTAAGCGCGTATAAAAGTTTACCACTAGAAAAGTAGCCTCTTCAAACAAAATATATATATACGTCTAAAGCATCGCTTTAAATAGAGCTTCGTGTCTTTTAAAGTAATAATTTACTGAGCCAGGTGACTTAGTGCCTGAGGTTTCGTGTAAACATGCGTTTAATTAACAAGCATCGAGAACAAAAGCAGCCGCTCAGAACAACATCGTATTTATTATGTACAGTGTATTTATAACTACGTAAATCAACTGTCAATTGAAAATAATCAACTTTTAAATAGTTCATGGACATTCGCAGCGTTCCATATAGTATATCTGTTTAGTTTTTGGTGCAAAATACTCAGCCGATTTTGCTGTGAAACAATAATATTGATAATAATATTATGGGCAAAGTTTGATTTTGTCTATAATCGTGAAATCGCTTATTTTATTTATCATCATTGTTTGGGTGGCCTTAACTATTGAGCCATTGAGGGGCGAGTTAATTAAATATAATATTTTAAGTTTCATAATTTTTTCCTTTCTGGTTTTTAGGTTAAACACAATTAATTTTAAATACACTATATGTTATAGTTCAATGATCCTGCCCACTGTATTTAGTTTTAATAGATGATATCACACAAATAACATTCCAATTTCCACTGATATCTACCATATTTAGTTTTGCTAAAATGTAAATAATTTTTATGTATCTAATATATTGATTTTTACTGAATCATAACATACAACTAATGTCTATGTTTTCCATTAATATCGTTAAAGTGCGGAATAATTTATTAAAACGGCACCTGATTTGTTGGATAACTTTACGTTTCTGTGGTTGGTAATACCTCGCCATCTTCAGGAGAAGTCACGAGTTAACATTACATAAGTATCGCAATGGTCCCAAGTCGAGGATGAGAAAGGAGGAGGGCTGTAGCAACTCCGCCCCGTAAAAACCAACCTGCTAAAAAATTACTGCAACAACAACTTCCGTCGGCGAGGTGTTGTTGGGGCCCTATGCTCCAGTGGGAGTCTACAGGGATTATTATTATTTAAGTATCGCAATAAATTAAAAGTGTCTCAGTTTACAAAATTAAATGGAAATAATAATTCTAATAGGCACGGCATGGCCAGGTGGTTAGGGAGCTCGACTTGCAATCTGTGGGTCGTGGGTTCGAATCCCCGTCACACTGAACATGCTCGCCCTTTCAGCCGTGGGGCGTTATAATGTGACTGTCAATCCCACTATTTGTTGGTAAAAGAGTAGCCCAAGAATTGGCGGTGGGTGGTGATGACTAGCTGCTTTCCCTCTAGTCTTACACTGCTAAATTAGGGACGGCTAGCCCTCGTGTAGCTTTGCGCGAAATTCAAAATACAAACAATAATTCTAATAAGATGATGATATGTTTGTCGTTTGTTCAGTCTGTTTCTATACAAAAGGAACTATTCTTTAGAAAAGGTGAAGACTGTAAAGTAACTTTTTCTTCTCGTTTTAAATTAAGTACTTTGTCTGTGGATTGAAAATTTAGTAAAACAGGAATATAAATGTAGTTTTTATAATATTTCGTGTAATTATGTCATAGTTCATATTGGATAGATATGTAGTAATGTAAATTAAAATACCATAAAACTCCAACACATAGAAACAACAAAGTAACGAATTTGTCTAAGTTAAACATGCGGGAAACTCGGTCCACTTATTTATGTGGAAAATTTTTAAATTGTAGATCAAGTTGACAATAAGGATGAATTACAATATTAGAGAGACATTAGAAATTGTAAAAAATAAAAATATTATGAATAAAGACACTAGGCCAGGTTTTAAGGAAACTTAATCTTTTAGTGGCGCCACATGTAGTGGAGTTTTGTGTGATAATCTATGCTGTGTTTTAATCTACTTATGTACATCTCAATGGAAGTGTACAAGCTTCTCTTGTAGTGTCAGCTAGAGGCTTCTTCTACTTCAACACTTAGAGTTGCCCAACGAGTCCTGTGCCGTTTTAGTAAATAATTGTGCTATTTTATCATTCATGAGTTTTAAATAACGTGCATATTTTCCACTGATAACGTCTAGGTGTCAATCTAGCCAGCTTATAAAATCAAATTGTTGTCTAAAGCACATTCTAGAAAAATCAAATCATTTAAATTGTTTGTAATTATGCACAAAGCTACACAAAGGGCTATCTGTGCTCTGCCCACCACGGGTATCGAAACCCGGTTTCTAGTGTTGCAAGTCCGCAGACACACCGCTGTGCCATTGGGGGGCGTCATTTAAATGAAAGCCAAAAAGATATCGGTTCTTAGTACACTTTATACGTGTATGGTTAGCTCTTAATGTTGAATAATTAATACATATTTTTACTTTATCATACATTTTTAGCAATAATTAAAAAATATGAAGAACTTTATCATTCGATATTTTTCACGTTTCACAGGTCCTCATCTATGATTGCGATTGAATTTGTAGCTGTGCATTTATAATCATTCATTTTAAGTCTTTACAAATAATTTGTTTGTTTGTTGTTATGCATAAAGCTACACAATGGTATCGAAACTTGATCATTTGTGTTATAAATCCTCAGACTTACCGGTGAGTCTTTGACGATGAACGTTTTTTAAAATTTTCCATAATATGATGTACTAACAGGTTGGTTTTTTAATTAACAGGTTTTTACACAAACCTTTGAATAATAATATTTCCCAGTTCCTAGGATACACTGCCATCTATTGGATATTTTATCGTAGTTGTAGGCAGTTTCTGCAACTATTTTTATTTGTAAATATGAGACATCAGTAAGATCACCGTATTGCGTTTGTTCATGTAATTCATGCCCATTTTTATGGCCTCGGGACGTGCTTTTCATACGTTTTGTGGTAGCATCTTATGCAGTACACACTGAAGTGATAAGCATAAGAATAACGATAGGTTGAAATCGTTAAGTGACTTGTGTAATGACTTCAGATTTTAAACCAACACAATGAAACTATTTTATTCAAGCACGCAACATACAGAAGAAAATAATGGAAAAATTCACTGAGAACACAACATTTCACTAAAATACTATACATTGTATACACGCTGTAAAAAATCTAAAAGTTAACATGGAGTTAAAGAAGTTATATCATGACTTAGCAGTATAAGTTCTAATTGAATGGAAGGGAGCACAAATATGTATATCATTTTCGAAGTTATTTCTATTAACATCTAATGTACTTTTTGCCTTTACAACATAAATTTTGCTTTGAGAGGAAACCTGTGTCTAAGAAATCTCCTTTCTTGCAAGCTTTGCTAAAGACTCCCATTCTTTCATTGGTCACATCTCGGCCAATCCCGATGCAGGATATTTCCCCGATGCTCCTGCCTTTATATCCAGGTGGCACAAAATCAAGATCTCCTCCACCAGTTTTTCTGTAGAACTATAATTTTACATGAAAACAGGGATATAGGGCCGTTTGGACTAAACTCATTTATCAAGTTTACATAGACATAGTTTCTAATGAAATTCAATTATATTAAGTTATGATCTTTATATGACTTATGTCCAGATATAATCATAGTCTACTTTATATCGTGATGAGATAAAATACATTTAAATATGACTTATTAATTTTTTATCTTGTTATAAATCTGGAATGTATACCTTCGAATAAGGTACAGAAGTGGGTCAAAAATTAGAAACAGGCATTGGAAACGACTTAATAACGTGTGGTTTCACCATTTACTGTTAACGCTCCAATTGTTTACAGCACGCCACTTGCAATTTCCTGAAATGTATACTGAAGAATTAGATTCCATTCCTCGAGGACACAATTTGACATAAAGCAAAATGGTCTCGTACATTCATAATGATCTTCCAATTATTCTTACATTTACCTGATGAGACTTATGGGATACTATCCATGCAATAATCACCTAATAATCAGGCTCTTACAATCTGTCCTCTCTGAAAGTCAGTTAAGACAGATTTCCTTCATAAGTTGCTTGAGCAGAGCAGAGTAGAGTTTACATATGTCTAAATAATACGGATCATCTGTCTAAAAAATCATTGGAACAACAAATAAAAAAGCCAGAAAAGGATCTAGTCCATCTGACATCTGGAAATGAACGTGTGCAGCTTTAAGTACATGTTTCTTTTTTTTTTTTTGTATATCCTCTATTTCCAATCCTAAATGAAATTACTTTTAAAACTAGATTTATGCGTGAAATAATACCGGAGTCATAAGTACTTGTTAATTATGACGCATTTCTAAACGTACCTTTTTAAGACAAAATATTTTGCAATACTCGTCTCCCGCTTTATCACATGATTGCCCTGGTAGGACGTAATCACGAGTGGTTACAAAGTTTTCTTCACGAACACCCTTTCCTTTCAGCATATAAGCACTGCACGTGCACTGCTCCAGCCTGGCTGAAGTCCTAAAAACATAAAATGAAGCTACGTCAAGTTTAAATATTACTAAACTGAACTACAAAACACATAGAGGAATGAGTCAAATAAAGTACGGGATACGTCAAGTGAAAACATTACAAAGTTATGAACTACAAAACACATATAGGGAAGAGTCAAATAAAGTACAGGATAAATCAAGTGTGAATATGACTAAACTATGAACTGCAAGATACATATAGCGATAAGTCGAATAAAATGCAGGATAAGTCAAGTACAAACATTACTAAATTATGAAGTGTACAGCAAATATAAGGTGAGTTAAACATAGTATAAAATATATCAAGTGTAAACATACCAAGTTGTAAAGTAGTAACAAATATAAGGATGACTCAAATAACGTGAAAGACGAGTCAGGTGTAAACATTTCTATGTAATGGAGTACATGGAACAAATACAGCTGAGTCAACTTTATTAAACCATTAAGTACATATTATACTCGAAGATTAGTTAAAGAAAATAAAATTTAAGCCAAGTGTAAACATTATCAGACCGTGAACTTTATATTTAGAACGAAGACAAATACAGAAGTACCTTCATTTTCAAGTGTAAGCGATCTTGTGGTTATATCAAGACCCTTAGTATTACCTAAATATTTCAACATTATGGCCTGGCATGGCCAGGTGGTTAGGGAGCTCGACTAGCAATCTGGGGGTTCGAATCCCCGTCACCCCAAACATGCTCGCCCTTTCAGCCGTAGGGGCGTTATAATGTGATGGTCAATCCTACTATTCGTTGGTAAAAGAGTAGCCCAAGAGTTGGCGGTGGGTGATGATGACTAGCTGCCTTCCCTCTAGTCTTACACTGCTAAATTTGGGACAGCTAGCGCAGATAGCCCTCGTATAGCTTTGCGCGAAATTTAAAAACAAACAAACAATTTCAACATTAAACTATCTATTGGATCTTACCACACCTATGGCCTGGTGGTTAGGGAGCTCGACTTGCAATCTACGGGTAGCAGGTTCGAATCCTGTCACCAAACATCTCAGCTTCCTTTGGTAAAGAGTAGGCCAAGAGTTGGCGGTGGTTAGTGTTTACTGTCACAAATTAGAAACAGCTAGCCCTCAAGTAGCTTTGTGCGAAATTTAATAAACAAACAAGTTTACCATATCTTATGTACCATTCTTCATTTATGTAATGATAATTCGCTCTTACTGAGCATAATTTATTTGCTAACATCAGTAAAACGTTAACACTTACGGTAAAGTTGTGGCGAACGAATATCAAGTGTCATGTTTAGTAGCCTATATAATCACCTAAGTCTAATTATTACTTAGTTATTTCTATCATTGTGAGTTTATGTGGTAGTAGATGTCGGTATTCGATCCTGGGTCTTCTTCTAACATCTACCACCGCACTCACAAAAAAAAGTACTTCTCAGGATTTCCCTGATGGAAAGAGATTAGCAGCCGAAACATGTAGTATATACATACTAAATAGTGATTAATAAATAATTACGATTAGTTGATCGTATAGGCTACTAATCATGACAACGATCAGCAAAATATTGATTTCACCAACGAAAATGAATTCGGCTGCAACACGAGCCACAACCTGACAAACTTATTTTTTTCTAGAAAATAGTAGCTTATATCCTTCAAATTCCACATTTTATATTAATTATTTCGAGAAAGTACTTCTACGATTTCACCGTTATTTCATTGTTATATGAAAAGCTAAATAAACGAAGACACTTATTATTGTTTCCGTACTGTTAAATTATATCTGAAACATTTTCCTCATACGATTCTTCTTCTTGGTATATATATATATATATAAACCTCCCAAAATTTGGAATAATAGTACAGCAGTGAAATAACACCATGGCGAATTTTTATCGTTAAGTACAAAGCTACCCAATGGGCCGTGCTCTGGTCACTGCGGGTATCGAAACCCGAGTTTTAGCTTTAAAAGTTCTCAAACTTACCACGGAGCTAACAAGGTGGCAAAGATGAATGTACAAATAATAATAATAAAAAACAATATAAAGTTATCACGGTCGACTTGACTGGAATAATGAGAACTAATACAGCTTTAAATTAAAATCACAACTTTAAACGTCTGGGAAATGTGATTCTAGAACTTAAGAGTGAAAATATGGAGGATTGTATATAACTATTTCAATCATTATATCTGCAACAACCAGTGCCAGCAAGATCTTTCTCCCAGCAACAGAGACCATCGGGCCAGCTGCGATATGACTGACACAGTAATGATTGGGACGCTATCTATATTACTGTTATACACACACTCAATTGACTGGTATAATAATAAGACGATACTCTTAACAATAGTTGTTATAAAGAGTCTTAACCATCTCCTTATAACAAAAGCCATTTCTACACAGTATTAGTTATAACAAGTACTGCAAAAACTCAAATGAATAATGGGAATCCATGACATCGTTAAATCTTCGTCTCAGATAAAATCCTTGAAGCAGTTTAATTAAAACTCCTAACTAGCCAACAACGTTAAACATGACATCTTAAAATGTTCGTCTCAAACAATATCCGTTCGGTTTAAAACAACTAACCTGCTAATTGCGATCAAGACGACTGATTAATCTAAACTAAATTAACTGAAAATTGTATCGTTTAAATCATCTCTAAGAACCAACTAATCCTCATGAATTAACATATGTTAAATAACTAATTAGTTTATTAATCTAGCATATGTATCGCAGTAATTACATTAGTCCTCACCATGTAGGTAGTAAGAACGTAATAAAGCACAGAAGCATGGAGTTCATCATGTTGACCAAACGTAAACCCCGAAGACTTTCTTTGTTATATTTTATTACTACGATATTTCTTAGCTGATATAGACAAAGTTTCCCGGAATGCGTAAATGGGAAGACGTAGGATGTTTTAAGCCACAAATTCCTGCTTGCTGAAGTAAAACATGGTCTACAAATAGGAGTGGAGTAAACATTTCCTGTTGTCAGCTAAGAGGGCATGACTTCCTCCCGATAACAAGGGCAAGATTACCGACATATTCTGACTCACAGACTCCTCTTAGATAACTGTTGTTAGCGATAAAATCACATTTTTATTCTGAATAATTTAACTCATTTCATGCAATCAGAAACAATATTTTTCAATACGTTAAAGTATAAATGGGAGCAGATTTCATCACAATATTTTGCAATTATCACGTGGAAAAAATTGCATGCTTCAAAACCACTTTATCAACAACAAAGAAACTGTAAGTGGTGAAATTTTTGCGTTTTTCCGTTGCTGCTAAAACAGAATTTCGAAATACTTATTTCAATAAAGCTTACCTTCCTTCGTTTACTACCTCTCCCCTTCCAGTTTTGTCTACAAAGGTTACTTTTGTAGTTATAACGGTGGTTGGAGTTGTAACTAGTGGTCTTACTGATACCATATTTGTATTATCCGAGTTTTGTTAAAACCTTGATTCTAAAAATACGTTTATGCCTTACGGTAACAGTAGAATGGGCTATATCATGGGTCATGTAACATTTAATCAGTTTTAAAAAAACAATCATAAATTAATTAGGGCATTATTCATTCGTACAAAAACTACTTAAATAAATTCTTGCGTTAATTCTGCTGTACACATTTTTTGCCACGAGATTCTGGTAGTGAAAAGATGCCCATCATCAGAGACAGACCTAATGAAGGTAGCCAGTGTGTACTCATACAAAAAATCACATTAAACAATGTTTCATATGAAACATTTAACTCCAAAGTACTGCCAGTGAAAAGATGCCTATCGCCTAAGCCGATGAAAGTAGTTACAGTATACACTTTTACAACACTGAATAATCTTTTATATTAACTCATTTATAGAGTTCTGCTAGAAAAATGGTGCCTATTTTCAGGCAAATATGATAAAGGCAGTCAACAGAGTCAATGTTTCATACTCATAAAACCTTGGTAGTAATAATAATATTTGTGTTCTATCGGATATTTTCTTTTACATTAATTGCAAATTTGTTAAAACGTAGACAAAAAGTTATTAACAGGAAAATTAATATTTACTTTTTAAAGAGCAGCCATTATTAAATACCTAATCAGTTAAGTTTTAAAAGTTACCTTCATGAAATGTTATGTACATAACCACTCCTCGAGAAAATTTAAGTTCAACTATTATTCATACTATTTTTGGATTACTAAATCTACACAATTCTTAATCCTTCACCATGAAGTTTTTTATTTTTTTTTTACAATAACCTATAAACTGTCTGGGTTATTTTACTTTTATTATTTCTAAGTGTACAAATTTACCCATGCCTCACAAGGAGAATATACATTTGTATTGCTTTGACATTTTTGTTGAAATTTTTGAGATAATCTTTTTTTTTTGTATAATATAATTTTATTGTTTATTTTTAACTGCTCTGATTTTGAAATTACAGGATGTGTGTATGGCTAAATAAATTTTATGAAAACAACATTTGAAAACTTTAAAAACATTTTTGTGAGAGGTCAGTACTCAGAAAAATAAGTTTCTGTATCATTTTGTTATTTTGAAAGACAATAGATAAAAAAAAACTTGTTAGTAATTACTGTATTAATTTACTGATTATTGTCTGCTAACAATGATATTTGGAACAAAATAAATCCTTAAGTGACTTTGAAAAAGAAGTATTAGCTTTATGCATAGAATCAGTGATGTATTGTAATCCTTTTAAGCAAAAATAATTAATCACAATTTTGCTACATTTGAAAACAACAGGAATTTCAAGTTTATTATACTTTCAGGTTCTTTTTTACATATTTTGTTCATTTTATATATACAATTCTCTTGACGTATTCTCCTTAGATATGGCCAGTTTGTAAAAACAAAAACTATTATTTAACATAAGTATGATCTAAGCCACACTGCACTGTTTCTTAAGTAATGCATTTACTAAAAAAACTTATAAAGCTAGTTTCTCATTCCTTTAAATTATTATTTCCCTTTAGATCTGTCTGTCGTTCATTCACATTATTGTTACTATTTGTTTGGTAAACACTAGAAGTTTCACTAACAGCCTGTTTCTTAAGTATGATCTAAGCCACACTGCACTGTTTCTTAAGTAATGCATTTACTAAAAAAACTTATAAAGCTAGTTTCTCATTCCTTTAAATTATTATTTCCCTTAAGATCTGTCAGTCATTCACTCACATTATTGTTACTATCTGTTTGGTAAACACTAGAAGTTTCACTAACAGCCTGTTTCTTAAGTCGCAACACTTCAGCTTCAAGATCCCTGAGTTTTGACTCTGATAACTTGATTTGTTGCTTGGCAGAAAGGAGGTGTTCATTGGCTACAATACCAGCATACTCTGCACCAGCATTAAAAGCAGTCTCTGCGGCTGAGTTGATAAGATTTTCCACAGACATCATCTTGCTCTGAAGGTCCTAAAAACACCACATAGAGATTTGGAACTTAAGTGAAACACAGATTAGTACTTTAAGGAATTCCTATCATTTTTAGTGTATTTTTTTGTTGTTGTTAAGAATAAAGCTACACAATGGCCTATCTGTGCTCTGCCCACCACAGGAATCAAAACCCAATTTTAGCATTCTAAGCCCTCAGACTTACTGCTGAGCTACTAGGGGGCATGTAATGTGGAAGTTCAAATTATTAAGGTGACATGTGTTCGGTGAGAATAAATATTGAACAAAATATGCTGCTCAACTAATGTATGAAACTTTAAAAAGAAAATGTCAAAATTATAAGTCCTCTGTACAAGTTCTTTAATAGGCTTAACAAAGATTCAATAGCTTTAATATTGTTACTAGTTAAATATCACGAAATATCTTATAGTTGAAATGCTAGAAACATGTTTAGTAAAATTAACACATAAATTAATTAAGTAGAGAGCTTTCTTACATTTCTTTTACTAAAAATAATTTTATTTTAAATTTATCAAAGTTCACTCTTTGTAATGAAACTTAAGTGTATAAAAAAAACATTAAAATAAGGTAGAATCATATAAGCTTCAAGGATTATACATTAGTTTTTAATGCCACTAGTCTATTCGGACTAGTAACTATAACAGGTCACTAGCCAAGAAATTGTTTGCTAATACAACAGTATGTACACAAAACATAAAAATCTGTTGTTCTTATTTTATGTTCACTTTCAAAAATTAACTTGCAAATACTGTGAAAATCAAGACTATTGGTAGTTACTAAAAAAAATTAAAAAAAAATCCAAATTGCAAAATAAATCTCAATAGTCAACCTTTATTACAAGTTTCAACTTTCTTTATTTGGCACAGACTAGGTGGTATTATTCTTATACAGCACTATGCAATGCAGCAGCCCTTTAAAAGGTGTATCCTTGTACTGCACCACCAAACTCAGAGATGACATCCACATTATCTCTTTTGTCTAAGCTCATTAGGCTACACTGATCAACTTTCAAGCTGATTCTGGACTGGTTTGTACCTTTAAAGAAGCTAGTGATGAAGATGTGCAATTTGTATGTATAGTTTGTAGGTTGGAGAATATCATAATTAAAGTAGAGGTAATAGATAAAGAGAAGTGTAGACTGTGAGAAATGGCAGCAGGATTTCAGGAGGAGCTTAAGCTTTTACATGCAAGGATTAGATCAGCTAACAATGACATTTAGGATGTGAATGATAAGGAAGTTATAGTTATAAGTTATTCCTTGACAAGGCATGTGGATAGTCTGTGAGGTAAATAGAGAGAAAAGAATCAGATTATGCTAGCCAGGTGCACAAGGTGAAGGATATAACTGACAAAGCAGGAGATATAATAAAGGGGGCTAGCAGAGATGTAGTTTTTGTGGTTCATGTAGAGGCTAATGATGTAGGGAAAGGTAGATCAGAAGAGCTAATTAATAAGTACAAGGGGTTGATAAAGGAATTTAAAGAAAATAGCCATAACTTAATTTTGTCAGGGATACTGCCCAGAATTAACTGTGGGGATTAAGTTAAAAGTAGGTCACTAGGGCTAAATGCTAGGCTTAGGTTAGTATGTAAAGATGAGCAGATTGGCTAGTTGGACTTGTGGGATCAATTCAGTGGAAGAAGAGAGCTTTTTGGAATGGATGGTTTACATTTAAATAAGATAGGGGCTGGCTTGTTTGCTATGGCTATTAAATCGGCTGCAAGGGAAGTTTAAACTAGTACTAGATAGTTGTGAGGGCCAGGATAAACAAAATGCAAAAGAATAAGATGCATAGAAAAGTTTAGCATAGGAAATGAGTATAGAAGTAGTTATAAGAGTAGACTTAATTGTTACTATTGTAATGGTATAAGTATAAGAAACAAAATAGATGACTTTAGAGCACTGGTAGGAATGGAGAGTTTTGATATAATGGGAATAACTGAAACATGGTTAAACATAGATGATTTTGATGACTAAGAAACGTCTTTGAAATAAAGGGATACAGGCTATTTAATAGTGATAGAGTACTAAAGAATAAGGAAGGAATGGCTTTATATATGTAAAATAGGAGTTACATCCTATGGAAGTTGAGGATATCCAAGATAATAGCAAGGAGATTGAATCCATTTGGGTTTCTATTAGTGGATATAAAGGGAAAAGGCTTTTAGTGGGAATTTGTTACAGGCTACCAAATGATACTGATGAAATTAATGAGAAACTTTACAATGAGATTAAGATTTCAGCTGTTAATAATTATGGGTGATTTCAATTTCAGGCATATAAATTGAAAAATTCTAGAGTCAAACCATGAGGGAGAAAGGATTTTGGAAACTGATGGCTTTCTTCACCAATTAGTCAAGGAACCTACTAGAAACAATGCTATTTTAGACTTATTATTAACTTCAAATATAGAAATGACCAAGAGGGTGGAAATTGAGGAACATTTGGGTGCAAGTGATCATTGCTCTATTAGGTTCAATGTTTTGCTGCATATGGAGATAAAGAATAATGATATTTTGGTTAC